CTTTTCTAGGGAATTTAAGCTTCGTCGGTTATATCCCATAAATCCCTATAACCGTCCAGGACTCTATAGAATTCTCATGGATGCGACAGAGCTATTCCCCCCCCGCCCCCCCGATACATACAGCTTGTACAGGTGGATTCATTCAGGTAAATACGTGACGCGAAGCAGACAGGAATAAATCCCTCTTGCCTCAACGCACATCCATTCCTGCTGGCGTTTTATATCGTCCACCCTGTCGGCCACCCAGCCCGTCAGTCAACCTCGCCTATGAAATGCGTGAACGCTGAAACATTAATGCAGGAAGCGATTTCAGCTGAATTTATGTCCTGCGTTTTCGAATTAACCCAGCCGCAGCGCCAAATAGCGCAAAATCTGAGGCAAAAGTCGCGGCCAATTCTGATTCGCGTAACCTACCATCGCGAGAATACATTCATTAGAGATTCCGTCGATCCTCGATCCTGACCCTGACCACCTGGCGCATCCTTCATTTCCTGCTGCAAGAGCCACTGCTGTCCCGTTGCGTAACCATACCGACCAATTGAGCTGAGCTATGAATACCCAAGGCACTATACCCGTAACGTATGTTTCGTATACCTGTGGACGGATAGCTAGAAACTAAGCGTGTCAAAATACGTCATTGTCTCCGGTACAAGAAAATTTGCGAAACTTTCACAGTTTCGCGGAATCCAATTATTAGATGAATTTTACGAGGAAACGCAACGCCTGTAGTAGACGTTTTTACCAATTCCCAGAGCAATCGCTGCTCTACTTAAGGTTTCGTCGTGCCGCTGGTTGTCCTATTGAGATAATGGAGAATGCTGTTTGATAATTCGCGGCTGCCCGACGAGGACAGAGGGAAAGAGAATGCGAGATCGATCGTTTGCTCGGGAGCAGGTAAAAGGGTCATTATGAAGTTCCCATGGTGTATTCTGACTGAAAGTTACGCAACGCGCTCAGAGAGATAATTAACGTTAACCAAACCGGATGAAATATGGTCCATGCGGATCAGCAGTTTTCTTATGAAACATACCTTTTACCCTGCAACGTGCGAGAATCAAAGTGGTCCGTTGCGAAACTCCTAACTCGATACAGTCAGCAGCAAGACCTGACTGTCTAATTGCGTCTCTTCAATGATTCTTAGCAACGTGACTTAATGATGGATGATGGAACGGCGCCTGTTCAAAGATGCGGCTGACCGGAATAAATAAATTAGAAGCTTTCTACAGACACCGCCTATGCTGTCTACCTTCATCCGCTTCACGCATCTGACTATCCATTTATATACTTACATACTGTATGCGTATATATATATATATATATACCATCTTCTCGAAAGTTAGTGGGTTACCGTAATTTTCGTCTTAGGGCCTGGCGTCATCCGCGGGAATCGCAGCGTACAACATTAAAATTATGCGATTCCTTGCATAAAACCATACCTATCCTATCCCTGTTCGTTGAAATTTACTTGTTCTACAATCGACGAGTAAAAAAATGAATAAATAAAACATCGTTCCGTTCAAGGAGAAAGCAATCGATATGACCAAGACGCTAATCGAATCCCACGACGAGACTGTAAATACAGGAGAGTTACTGCGCGAGATGCGATCTATTGGATTTTCAATAAAATCAAGCGCATTGACCGGCTGAACGGGATTATTGCGCTCCTGACGAATTTCTATGGTTTTACCAAGCCGCGTCCAAAGGACACGGGACACTACAAACAATTTAATAATGACTAATGACCCCGCGCGCAACGACGTGCACGTCAAACGAATAATGAGAATTTAATGGGATACGATAATGGTCCTGTCCGTTTGCCCGTGCAATGACCGTACTTTTTTTATACTAGATTAATAATAACAATATACAGTAGTTCAAAGAGACCTTACTATAGCCATTCGGACATTCCATCCCTATTCTGCGAAGCCCAGATATAAACCTCATCCACTTTTACATGCATTTTGCACCAAGTAAGTCTGACGCATAATTTTCGTTCGATCGTTCGAAATCTCTATTCTCCTTATCCACTAGTAGACATAGGTATCGGGTATAAACGTATTGATGTTTATCGTCATCATTTTTCTCAAGTCAAAACGCTTCCGCCTGGGAGTATAGTGTATATATTATGCATACACCCAGGGGATACGTCGTATACGCTAGCTTAATATAGTTTATCGGATTTAGATCGCGTTAAAAATACGATTGAAAAATCGATCGCCAAGAGCTACGGGATACAAGAGATTCTAAAGGATACAAGCCAAGCGAATGGATTAATGTAAACTGGGAATAAAGGCTAATACGTATAGATTGTGGTGTACCGCCCTTGTTCATGGAACAGATGATAATATGAGTCGCACTGAGAAGTGCGACCGACTGCGTTACAGTACCAATTGCGCGGTCTTGATAAAAGGCCCATCGTGCCGTGTAGCCATGAATTATCGATATTCTCCAATAAATTGACAATAATCGTGATATCGTTACATTTTATTATTAATATATATCCATATATATATATACATAGTATATTACGTACAGGATGTTAGAGATCGAGCGAATAAGCCCGTTGAAGTTCTTAAATGGAATTATCATAATTATATATGTATATATATATATATATATATTTTTTTTTTTCTTATACATTATAATAACGAGGATGAGACTGCTGCTGGTTTTAATTCGTATGTCCCAAGTACGCCGGAGCCACCGAACTAAGGTACTTTCGAGGAGTACCTACGGGTACTTGCTATACTCAGAAGGTTGAAAGGTGCTCGAGAAACGTGTTCCGTTCACCCGGAAGTTCCTGCGACCGTATTCCTACGCTCGACTTCCTCCGTATTTTATCCGACAAGTGAAAACGCTGCCGAAGGATTAGAATTACCAGCCGGGCAGGACTTTTTACTCGTCGTCTGCCGCACCTAGGTTTAAGATTTACCGATTCCCCGGAGCCGCGCTAATAGAGAGCACACCTGTGCGCCTCCGCAAGGCCGATCAAACTTTTCATCTTAATGTATCCCCTTAATATTCCAAGGACGACCGAGGAGCTATCTTATTACGTAACATCGCGAGATTCGCTTTCCATTTACATCGATTGCGCAGGATTTAGGCATTTGATTTCTATATGGGCGAAACTGAACGTTTTACAAATTATTCGATTGACGTATACGGTATACGCATATTGACTCCTAGGGAAATATATCATTTACGTATAGATCCGGATAGCGTGCTAAGCAAAGCGCAATCCTCGAGTATAGAGAACACGTGGAACTGGTAATTGCCGTAAGTCCCTACAGTGCCAAGATCAAAAACAATGAACTTCCGCCAAGTGGCCTTTGCTCTCTGTCGCTAATGGCCGTACACATAGATATATGTATATGGTTAGTTGCGATACACTCCGAGGGCATCAAACCTTACGTGGCATTGCGACACGCGAAGAACAAAGACCGCCGCGTAAAAGAGGATAAGCAATGCGGAGCCAATGCAGCTGGCACTCACGAATATCAATAGCGGGAACAGAAGTTGTGTGGTAACGATATAGGGACTCGCACGAAATGTAGAAATCCTAACATGTCTTTAAGAAGAGACACTCCCGCCATTGTGCACGCGTATGAACCAAGTAAGGGAGACACTGCAAGAGGAACTGACCGAGGAAAATTAAAAAAAAAAAAAAAAAAAAAAAAAAAAAAAAAAAAAAAAAAAAAACAATCTAAAGTACCTTATACAAAGATTAAAGTACTTCGAAGTGGATAGGATTGTCGTGAAACAGTGGATCCAATCTAATTGAAAAGTTTCCGAGGAATATCGGATATAAAAAATTATGAAGCGTTTCGAATTCAAGAGGTAATCGTATGCTTTCATACACACGCACGACGTCCTTTGAACGTTGCTCCAATTGCCCGAGAATATTGAGGGCGGTTGAAATATGCCGAGGAATCTCAGTCCGAAAATTGACAATACGGTTTACCTGCAGCCGTATACGTGTATAGTTGCAGGAAGAAGGTGATTACGGGAAGGGATTCGGCGCAGGTCGGTTTTATCGAGAGCCAAGAAGTTTACGAGTGTAATATAACTAGAGGTATAGCGGAGCTACCTAGGAGCACGAAGCCGAAAAGAGGAAGTACGCTAATGGAAATAAAGCTTCGAGTGGAAGTGCAAGTGGAAGGTCGGTAAGCGGGCCAGGAATATACGAGCGTGCAGAGTTTCGCATATATCGTTCCCAGTATCCGTGAGAAGTTTGAAGCGCGATCAAGGGGAGAAGGGAGGATCGAGGTATATTTCGCGGTCTGGATTAATGAAATTCTTCGCGGTGCCGAGTGCCCGAAATACAGTCGAGAGAAGGTGAGATACCGGGGGGCGACTACGACGGGTATACCCATTTCGCTTGCTATTCCCTCGACATCGTAATCCGTGTATTCGTCCTCCTGCATTATCTCCAGCCAGGAAGCCGATACGCTCGCCAGTCGTATGCGACATACACCTTGGCACTTTCGAATGTCTCTGGTTACACAAGAGAGTCACTAGACGCTGAATTAGTCCTCCGTTCGATAGAAGTGACCACTGGCTGGGAGGTGGACGCAGCAAGGAGAGCAAAAAGAGAGCACCGTGAGCAAGGACGACAGTCGGAAAAAGGTGTCTTGGATAAGCGGACAATTAAATGGACCATAGGAGGAGAGGTATAACGTATTGAGAATAATAATGGCTGGGCTATTAGTTGATCCACTACTTGAGGTACTGCCTATGGCCCTATGTTATTATGGTATCTAAGCTGACTACCGTTATCGTAGCGCGTGAGTTGCCGTGCCGTACCAGTAGGCACGTATGCCAGAGTATAGGCTGTACACGTGCATTGCTGTACTGTCGGAGACAGTATTTATGGGCGAAAGATGGCAACGCTAGGGATTCGACTTGCCAGTTCAGCTAAGTGGGACTCGACCGGACGAGTCTCTCTGTTCTCGAACGGAGAGCACCAGGTATACCGCCGGCAGTGCTCTTTCTTTTCCCCCCACGTGCGAACGAGGCTCAGCGCGATGCAAAGCAAGGAGAGTTACCACGCTCGCTCGTTCCGCTCCAGGTAGTAAGACAGCGTCTCCCCTTCGAAAAGGCTCAGTTTCCGCGTGGACTTCGTTTCGCAAAGTGATCAAGGAAATTTAGTGAAGGAAGTACGGGGGAGTTATCACGTATCGGCTATGGGATTCGCGTATCTTGTCTGCTTGACTTTGGGTAAGTAAGAGGAAAGGATACGACCGTATGTAATAATTCATCTGACAGGAATTTATAAAAATTTATCGAATTTATCGAACGGTGCAGATTTTCATCCGTGTGCCGCACTATGCGTCTTGGACGCGTTAGATAAATTTTCCCGTTATTTTTGGATCGTCGTTAGAGCTCGAAGGGGTCGGTAGCTATAGAAATATCAGACACAGTATATATGACGTATAGGTAAGAGAGAACAAGAGGAACCGTGGACAAAGATGAACAGAAGTAATAGTTCAGCATGGACCCAGTGTCGAGGATATCCGGTGAATCTAAAGCCAATCGAGCGAGGCGGCGAGGACAACACCAGGGGAAATCAAGGATTCTCGGATTTTATTTGCATAAAATGATGGGGCCAGGGTGTCACGTTTGACCGACAGTTCCCTCTGCCGTCTCCCGTTCGCCTATTCTCTAGGCTATATTTGCACTTTATACCGGGTGCCGCGCGGCACTGTATTTTCTTCCATGACACTTTATACCACGAACCTTCGGAATCCCTGATCCTCGCGAGCGACTGCCGATCGAAATCCATAGGCAAAGACGGCCGTACGTTCCGCACGACTTTTACGGAAACGGTTCCTGGTCGGTTCGGCTCCCTATCGACGTCTCCAATTCTCGATAGAAACATACGAAGGCGAATCTGAGTGAAGAGATTTCTGTATAACGTAAGAAAGTTCTTAAAGGTAAAGTTGACTTTGTATCTAAAACGGCGTAATCGCTCGGGATCACTTGTTCGTGGAAGCTATTTTAAGTTTTCTTTTCAATTTTTTTTTTTTTTTTTTTTTCCACCGAACACCCTATACCCGTTTTCGATTCCCGCGCACGAGAGCTCTACCAAGAAGGACAGCGTGTGGCCTAACATATCCACCCGCTCCGACGTTGAGCCAACACAACCCCATCAACCTAATCGTGTTTTTCCACGGTGGCTGATAGGACCCATCTAACTATGGAGAAGGATCAGGGAGGTCGATATATATAGATGACAACCTGACCAATGTTCCACGAGAGGACGGCTGGTTCTATTCTAACCACGTCCAGGTCTACCACCCACCCATTCCACTCGTACCACCCTGTATAGACGGAGCCCGCAATTCTCAATGCATACAACCCAGTATATCCATCGACCATCGTATCTATATAGCTGAGTATATCAACCGGTATACCTGATCACCATAAAAATTTATATATACGCTCGTGACCGTAAATTGTATTACCGAAACGTATAGATTCCATTATCTTCCCTCATTCCGCGGTTTGGCATCGATCGTTTATTAAAGAAATATTTTTCACGCGGTAAGTGAGTCTGTAAACGTCCATATATACAAGCAGAAATATGAAATACATATGGACCATGTATAAATGATATGTGGATTATAACATATAACCTCGATCATTGAAAATTTCGAAAAAAATCTAATGGATCATTCACGCGTCCGTAATTTAAGTTCATATACGTATCAATATATACATATAGATTTGGTTAGGTGCAGGATCAGTGGATTTTCTTAGTTTTATCTTTTCCCCTTGTTATTATCCCCTTTCGCAAACATCTACGTGCGCTACATCTACTATACAGTTTCTCCTGCGCGGCTGGAAAACGTGAGGTGTGACAGATAACGTGTTCTAATCGTCAGATCTCAAGCTAGCGTCCTCGAGCAAGGACGCTCACCGACTGCATAAATATGTGATATAAAATAGGAATCAACAAACACATGTTTCACGCGTTGCCAGGCAGAAATGCGCTCGCGCCGCGAAAGGCCACACGCAGAGGGACGTCCGGCACGTGTGGACGTATAATAATGCACTCCGTAATCATATTGCAACCGACCTGCATTCAAATACAAATCAAGACTATAGCATGTATATACAGATATATATTATGTATGTGCAGTGCAGGAATATCGGTGGATCTGGAAATATTAAGAAACTCCCATCTAGGTTGAAACTAGACGGACATTTCGGGCTCTCTGGACTTTAAGGTTATGGGGTTTCAAGTTGAAAGAGAGGGGGGTGGGGGGTGGAAGAGAGAGGAGAGGGGTCGAGCAAGTTACAGCAGATTTGCCAATCGCAGAGCAGCACGTAAGGGTCCTGCTGCTGCTCTCGACAGACATTGACGTACTCGAGAATTTACTCCGTAGCTCGTAATTCTACAACTAATAGGGATATTGACTTTTAGTTGGCAGCACTCGTTTTCCCTCGTTGCCAGCCGCCAAATTCGTTACAGCCCGATTGCTGAAAAACGAAATGCGATGATTGTGCCGGTGATTGACTCGCTCGATTTACTGAATTTACCTGATTCCGCCAGGTTCCCCTGCGCGCTGGTAATACAATCGCAACTGTTTGCAGCTGCGAAACTCGCCTCGCAAACACCAGCGAGAATATCGCGCCTTTTAACCTACGCAATATAATGGTCGCAGTGGAAATCCTTGTGTGACGACAAATAAGAATCATCGAGTGCCGGACTCGTTCGTTTACAATCGACGGTGCAAAAGTTATTACCTCGAGCCATTAATTGCATCCAGGGTGACCTGCATCCGAGCAGCTGCGCGACGAAAGCCGCGGATCGAGTCACTTTCGGAAATATAAAATTGAAGCGCCGAGAGCGTAAAAAGAAATTGGCAGTGTAGGTCATCGACGATTAAGGGATTTGGGTGTCTGTCAATCCGGATTCTGTGCTTGTGGTAGACATCTTACATAGAATTTTTAAAATCGTCACAATCTTCGACATTTAAAAGCCTTAGCTGAAACGACGATTAAATCCGAGAAAAAAATCCCAAAAATAAATTCAGCTGGATCACTGAATTTTCAGGAAAAAAAAAAAAAAAAAAAAAAAAAAAAAAAAATGTTTAACTTTATTCCCATCTCGTCGGTATAAGAATAAATCGCGAGGATGCTTTATTATGAAATCGGAAATTGGCGTCGATCGCAGTACAATTTACTGGGCTCTTGGCATACATCGTGCGCCAAGAAACTGTATACAGGATGCGCTTCTTGAAAATGTGGAAAGTTGCATAGTTGTCCCACGGTCGCCAGTGTTCAGCGGTAATTCGTAACGAAAAAATCCCTAGGCGAAATAATTGTTGCCCTTGCGAATAAGTGACTAGACTAGGGATAAATGAAAATTCCGAGCTGTGTCCCGTTCTTTCGATAGAGCGAGAAACAGCGAAATAGCATAACCGTCGGGGATGTGCTCCACACGCAGCATCTCTGAAGAACGGCGGCTGGAGCAAAGTTGAAAAGTAAAACACGTCCGATCGGAACGTCGACGATGATCGGCCGGTTATCGACAGGAAGAGATTAAAGATAGGCCGATGGAGTGCGCCTGGCATAAATGAACAGGTAGCCACTGCAGTCGATAATCAATTACGCACGTAGCCCGCGGGATAACGCGCATCCCGATTGGACAATCCGTTCTCTATTATTTCTATGTTTTTTTTTTTTTTTCCTGTACCTCTGTACTCCAGTAGAATAAAAAAAAATCCGACTCCCAGGTACAAATCCTGACGGCGAGAATCAAATTGACCCCAGCGATTGATAACGTCATCCGAACTGTGTAAGGCGTGTAAACGAGAGAGTCGATTTCCGCTAACAAAAGTCAAAAATAAATTATCTCATTTATATATATATATATATATATGTATATCAGTCTCCCTTGCAGTATATTCTGATCCCAACAGCAACAGTACGATGCGATAACGCGTCAGGATGGATGGACTAAAGTAACACAGCATTATTGGTAATCAAGCAAAATCCGTCGGAAGGATATCAGCACGTGCTACGTTCGCAGGATTATGCGTCCGGACGATCGTCGATTACCGATGGACAATGGCGAAGCAGGCCCGTGCGACTGTATAAGATCGAATCTAGCTGTCGTATGCGCAACGATGCTTTGGGCATTTAAACTATTTGTCCTGGATTAGGGAAACCGAGTATTTCATTGGGAACAGGGCAGCTGTCCGATTACTGGAGATTCCGAGCGATGCGCGTGCGATGCCAGTTGCCGTGGGATTTCGGGCGTCTTGTAAAAGGGGCAAGAAGAAGAGGGCGAAACGAGCGAATTAGGATGTATTAATATATATATATATATATCATATATGTATATATCATAGTTCCAGCTGGTTACGAACGTCGCGTTGCAAAAGGATCGACGTAAATTAGCCCGTGAAATTAATACCCTCGGCGTATTACGAGAAAGAGATTTCATCTCGTTACGTACCGAGAGGAACTTAATTTTCGCTTGGAAATTACAGTTGCAGCGAGTAAAGTCGGACACCTCGGGTGCTTCGAGTTTGATAAGTCCGAAGTCGTCTTTTGGTGTCTTAGAAGAGACGACGAATGATGACGCAACGAAGAGAGAGAGAGAGAGAGAGAGAGAGAGAGAGAGAGAGAGAGAGAGAGAGAGAGGGGAAAAAAAAAAAAAGTCTTAGAAGAGACGACGAATGATGACGCAACGAAGAGAGAGAGAGAGAGAGAGAGAGAGAGAGAGAGAGAGAGAGAGAGAGAGAGAGGGAAGAATAAAAAAAAAAGATGAGAAAGAAAGACTCGGGGTCGTATAAAGAAAAGTGCAGGAGGCACTTGGAAGTTATGAGACTAATTGTACCAGTCGATAACGACAACTTCCTGTATAAGCAGCGGGGACCAATGGGAAATTACCAGATGATAAGTGTAAGACTATATACTTGTCAGGTGACACGTACGTGTTGTACAAGGCAGTGATGATTACCGTGACTCTGACAATTCCGCTTGACGTTTGGATTTCCTGTTCTTTTCTTCTCGGATCGAAGTCACGCGTGTCGCCATCCATTTTCAGTGTTTGAAATTGACTTGTTTTCGCGCCTCGAGCGGAACCGGTGAAACTGGATAAAAATTCGGCTGGCGCTCTCTTCTTCCGAAGGAAACTTGAACGTCCGGCATATCACCCTATTTCACCCAGACTTTCCTTGGCTCTGAAGAAAGAGCCAGAAGAC